TGCCCATTTCCTATCGGACCCAAAATATGATATAAATATTTCGACAGATGTGCCAAGTCTAAATGGAATCGGATGTTAATTTGGCGATTTATGAGCTTCATGGGTACTCAAAATTTCAATACTTTGTGGGGGAGGTACCAGAAGGAGTGGACCGATGTATTCCCCCTTCACACCAGACTAATACAAATATTAGGATGTGTGAAATTTGAAGACAATTGGACTTTTACATCACATTTAATGAGATTGTAATTATTCAAAATTTTGACCATTTGTGTGGGAGGTACTTGATAGAGTGGACCGATATTGTCCATTTTCACACCTGTCCTAGCACTGACGCAAATATTAGGATTCGCAAAGTCGGAGCAAATTCGGATTAGCCTTTCTCTTTCTGTGCAAAAAATATGTTTTTTTTTTTTGAAAATTTCGACCTTTTGTGGGGGAGGTACCGGAAGGAGTGGGCCGATATTGTTCATCTTAACACCAGTCCTTGGGTTAATATAAATATTCAGATGTGTGAAATTTGAAGACAATCGGAGTCTTACATAACATTTTATGAGAGTTGTAATAATTCAAAATTTTGACCATTTGTGGGGGAGGTACTTGATGGAGTGGACCAATATTGCCCATTTTCACACCTGACCTAGCACTGACGTAAATATTAGGATTTGCAAAGTTGGAGCAAATTCGGATTATCCTTTCTCTTCCTGTGCAAAAAAATATATTTTTTGAAAATTTCGACCTTTTGTGGGGGAGGTACCAGAAGGAGTGGACCGATATTGCCCATCTCCGAACTCGATCTAAGTTTGACAAAAATATTACGATATAGCCAATTTGGACCAAATCGGATACTCCCTTCGAGAGTTATCGTGCGCACCAGCCAGCCAGACAGACAGACAGACAGACAGACGGACGGACGGACGGACGGACGGACGGACATCGCTAGATCGACTCCAAATGTTCTGAAACGGATTTGGTCCAAAGAGACCTAGGGTCTAAAACCGTTATTTCGACTAGGCACGTTTTGGCCGTATCAAATGATATATACCCTCTGTAGCCATATGGCTGAGGGTATTAAGAAAACTGTACGCAATTTAGGAAAATATATTTCTTACCTTTCCGGTATAGAATAGAGGCAGATAAATTTTAAGTATATAAAATCCCAAATACTCGTGACCATTTTTAGTCCTTAGACTTCTTAAACTTTTTGTCATATTTTCAATGATTTGGTATTCATATCTAATTTCAACACTGAAAAATGTGCAATTATGGAATTTCTAGGCATTTAAAAATTTTTTTATAATTAAAATAAAGAGAATTTTTATAATAAACACAAGTGATTAAATAACAAGTTAAAAAGCAAGAAGTTCAGCCGGGCCGAACTTTGAATACCAACCACCATTTGGAACAAATTGGAAATTTTCAAAAAATAAAATCCTTAAAAATTCTATTAAAATTTTAAAAAATACCAAATATAGCCGTTGTATTGGGGTCTATACGACGTGGACCGCAACATACATAGGCATTGTTTGTCATAAGCCATTACCATATTCAAACTTGAAACTTGAAATAAACGGTAAATAATGTAGCTAAAATCATCAAAATATCGTATATAGGCAGGTACCGTTATATCGGACCTGGACCAGCATAGACAATTTTCTGTCATTGCGAACTTCAAATACGACATTTCAAACAATTTCGGTGCGTATTGTACCTAAACTCGTCAAAATACCGAATATAGGTAGGTGCTGGTATATGGGGCCTATACGAAGATCTGGATCTGCATAGAAAATTTTCAGCCATAGGCTGAACTTCACATACTAAGTTTTAAACAATTCCGCAATTGACTTCAGAGTAAGCAATAACAAATTTTACATATTTCAAGTTTATGTATTTGTTTGGTTCTTTCGATGCTTAAAATAACGTCACATAGCATACAAAAAAGTTATCTTGGTTTTTGACACACGCCACGATATCATGCGAAATTCTGTCGCCAATGGCCTTATTTTTACGATATCTACAGAAAATTGCACTATCCCAAACTCCAACATCATGCTAAATTACATGTCAATCAGTTAAGAAATGAGATTTGTAGATTTACTGAAAAGTCGTGATTTTTTTATTTTTGGTCTATTTCAATCCAAATATATAGAGTCAGATAAAAAACTACAACAAAGTCAAATGCCATAATTTTGACATTTTTTTTTAAATTTTATTGAATGAAAGCAATAAAATGGACATCGACACTTTGGTATTTTAAGTGCCAACTTTGCTTTCCAACATACTTCAGACACAATAGTCCAACGGATTGGTATCCGGAGATTTTGGTGGCCATTATGCGCTGGAAATGAAGCGAGGAACCTCATTTTGCAACCATTATTGGGTGGCGCGTGCTGAGTCCTGTGAGAATATTCAAGGCTTTAATACACCCTCCAGAATATTTTCGCGATAATATTCGACATTTATTCTGATGCCACGATCGAAGTACGAGCGGAGAGCGGCCATCGGCTGTTATGGCGGCCCATGGCGGACCATTACCATGGCCGGCGCTTAAGTTCTGGTGGCCAACCAAAGTTGCATATTTTCAGCTGACCTCTTTGGCAAGTAAATACGATAATTTTGTTTGCGCAGCAACTCTTTAGCTCTTTTGAGTCTATTTTCTTTCTGTTGCGGTGCGGTGTAAGTTCTTGCACTTTTTGGAATTTCAATGGCTCCACCCCGTGCTCGGGACATTTTTCAATATTTGGCGAATGGAAAATTGCGATATGTTAAGATCACGAGCCCTTTTTCAGCCACTCTGACGCGGGTTTCGATCAAGTCGCTTTCTTACTTTTCAAACCATTTCTGCTGATGTTGCTGTTTTCTTCCGTTCACTTCCTTGACGTTGGGCTACCAGTATCACGGTAACGAGCGATGGTACGAGACGCAAAAGATTTATTCACATTTAAATGCTGGAGTGCTCTAACGATGGGCACTTGTGGTTTTCCAGCCAAATATAAAGAAATCACACTATCACGCTTGAATTCCATTACGAATAACTTCTTTTCTGGAAAATGCTCACCGGAATGCTTTTGTAGGCTTGTAAACAATGTAATGAGCTGTTACTGGAATAATTTTAACAGCTGTCGGACGAATGGCTTAGAAATGACAGCAGTCTGAAGTTGAAGTTGAAGTTGCGGTTTGTCTTATAATCCATCATAGATTGTAGGGAAAATATATATCAAATTTGTCATCTAGTTTGTAATACCTCCAAAAATTTGTCGGAGATACCAACATATATATTTGTGATCAGCATAAAACTCTAAGTAGAATTGATGATGTTCATCAATGAATAAGAACTTTGAACAATGGCATAATAGTTTGATTTGTTCTTAGGATGATAGTTGTTGAAATAGTTATATTGGTTCAGTAGGCCCCATACTGGATTTCATATATATTTACATAAGTATGTAGACTGTCTGATTTTCATACCCGCAGCCATATGGCTAGTGAGCGTATATATCATTAAATACGTCCCGATGTTTAATCGAAATAACGATTTTAGACCCTAGGTCTCTTTTGACCAAATCCGTTTCAGAACATTTGCAGTCGTTCTAGCGATTTCCGTCCGTCTGTCTGCAGATACCTTCACCCCAACAGATACCTTCCCCACAAAGCGTCAAAATTTTGAATATCCATGAAGCTCATATAACGCGAAATTAATATCCAATTCTATTCAGACTTGGCACATCTTAATATCTCCATCAACACAAGATCCGTTATAAAGATGGTAGATATCGGACCATTTCTTCTGGTACCTCCCCCACAAAGGGTCAAATTTTCGATTTAAAAAAAAATTATAAAATCCGAAATGAGCATACTGTTCTCTTCATATTTCATACATCATAATACTTTTATCAACCCAAGATCTAGTGCAAAGATGAGATATATCGGTCCACTCCTTCTGGTAACTACACCCCCAAAAAAGGATCAAATTAACCATAAAGCTCTTAAAATACGAAATTTACATCCGATTACATTCAGACAAGGCACATCCCAGTATTTAAGTAATCAAACTTTGGCTGAGGGTATACATCTGTCGGCAAAATCGAGTGATACCTTTGAATTTGTTTATTTATATGATTTATATTTGTTAGTGCATATATCCTCAAGGACATATGATTGCATACGTATTTACAATATTCATATATATTGTGTCCATAAGATATATGGCTTCAATCATTTGCCTAAACCAAAATTTAAAATAAAATTCAAAATTGTCCTCCACAGAATCAAAATTCTCGCAATTGCTCTAAAAACTTGTGTGAAACGGCAACACTAGTTATGTTATTTTTCCTTTAATTACTTTTGCCCTCACTTTCTCTTGTTTTACCATTTTCTCTCTCTCCCAAACTCTCTCCATGCTACTCTTGCTTTAAGCAACAAAACAAAACACTATTTACTCTTTATACCATTGGTCCTGCGACTTTGACACTGATTAACGGCCAAGAAAAATTACACTAAAAAAGAGAACACCATTTTTCATGGAAAACCCCCCTCGAAACTAATTTTTTCTTGTTGCAATAGGTTTTTCTCTTTAAATTTCGGGCTACTAATTACAGACATCCGTCGTTTTGCAGAGGTTTTGAACAAAAATGTATTAGCATAGAATCTATGTATGGTTGTGTGTGTGTGCGAGTAAACATTTTAGGAATACAGACCTACAGACGTACACTTTTCCGAAGACAACACTCGGTGAGGAGAACCCAGAAAAAAACAAATTTGGAATCTGTATCTTTGTGCCAGTGAGTGAGTGTGTGTGCTAGTTAATGGTGCTGCTGTTGTTTTTGTTAAAATTTGTTGTTGTTGCTGTTGTTATTTCTATAAATTTATGTATGCTCTTGGCTCACTGCGGTGTGTTTAAATCGGCGGTGTGGTTTGAAAATTTATTTTTAGAAAATCGAGTATAATTTTTCTTAAAAATTCACATTTTAAATATTTTAGATTTTTTTTGAAATACATACTTTTTTACTCGGTTTTTTGTAGTGCACGAGATTTGTGGTTGTTGTAATTTTTATGGAATTTTTAGTTGTTTTTTTGCACGGGCTTTGTTGTTGCTGATATTTATTTTTATTTTTTTTGTTTTTTTTTATCTCTAGTATTTGCTGTTTTCTTTTGAACGGGCTTTGTTGTGGCTGTTAAATATATTTTTTAATTTTTAGTTGTTGTTTTTCTTTCTTGTATTGCACTGGTTTTTTGTTGTTGTTATATATATTTTTTAATTTCTTTTTTTTGTTATTGTTGTTGTTGTTTTCTATAATTTTCCTCAATTAATAACACTTGCACTCACACCACCAAGCCAACAATAAAAAATTATCATTTCCTACTTTTTTTATTGATTTCTCTTTGTTCGACACCAACGTGCACACATATGCACGTGTGTGTCTGTGTGTTAGTATGTACGAGCGATTTGTTTGGTTAGGGGTACACAAAGGAATCCTCTGTGTGTTTTCAAGTTTCGTTTTATTTTCGGGGAATTGGAAGTTTGTTTATTTGTTTGATCCTTGCATTCGTTTGTTACTCCTTTCGTTCTTCGTTTATTCGATTCGTTTTTTTGCAATTGGTTTTTGTTGTTGTTACTGTTGTAGTATTTGATTTGTTTCTTGTTTTTATTTTTTTTTTTTTTCAGTTTCGTTTATGACATTCGTTCGTTCCTTCGTTGGTATGTCTGCCACTAGTATAACACATTTAACACGCACAATTTCACAAATTTCCTCCTCATATTCGATGACGAGGACGACACAAAAACCATCGCTGGTGGTGTTGGCGGAGAGGGGGAGAGGAGGTTCATCTATTTTCCATCAAGCACACAATAATCATTCTTATCAACCTCACAATCATCAACAACGACGACAACGACAACAACTATATTAAACGATGACGACTGGAGGAGGAGGAGCAGCCCAAGCTGAAGCAGAAGCTGAAAAAACAAACGTTCTCACATCGGCAGCATGGACGAAAGGATGTAGGTTTTTTTTGGTTGGTTGCTTGCCAGGATAACTACCTGCTTTAATCCGTTTTCAATTACTTTTGCTACTGTGCTTCAGTGCGCGATATACTGCAGCTGATTCTGCTGACGATGTAGCAGGGTTGTTGTGGTTGTTGTTGTCGTTTTATATTATAACAGAGATTTTTATATCCGTTCCTTTTTTTGTTGCTGCTGCTCACAGGGTTAACATTTTCTTTTTACTGGTTTCACACACACACACTCTCGCACACAAACCGAGCTGGTGTATCTGTGTTCGTGTGTCGGCGGCGTGTTTTACTTTCTTTTAACTTGCAGTTTTTCAAAATTTTGTTGTTTTTGTTTCTTCCACTCAATTTCCATGTAGTGAAAGCTTTTAATTTTTTTGTTTTGTTGTTTTTTTTTTGCGCCCGTATCCGTCGTATACCCGTAGTAGACGTCCTGACTATGTCATATCCTAAATGCGACTATTACACCTCGGTAATCCTTCAGTTAGTAATACGTATAGATGGTCTCGTTTTTCAACAGCATTTACCTACAACAACATGGTTTTTGTTCAGCTACTCTGCTCATGCTCTGCAAGGATAGGCTCTCTCTCCCTCTCTCCCTGACTCAGACACTAAACTTACTTACAGCCTTACAATATGCCAAGGAAAGTTTATATTTGAATAATATGCAAGGAAGAGCTTTATCTTCGGAAAATAGTATAAGAGAGTGAGAGATGAGAGAGAGAGAGAGAGAGAATAAATGAGAGTGCTAATTTGCCGTTTTGTAAATGTTAAGAGAAATTCTTTTATTGTTATTTCTGCATTCGCCCACTAAAACCTAAGTTCCTAACAATCGATCAACAGTTCTTTGTGTGGCTCAAACGGATTTCCGCTAAATGCCCAGCCATGGTCATTGGGATTTTCAGGGCGAACTTGGTCAGTAAGTAACTTGTGGGCATTCGACAATTCAAAAAAACTTTTGAAACGAAGTGACAATAAACTGACAAGAGGATGTGTGGAAACGAATAGAATAAAGTTCGAATATTTATGAAAAGGATACCACTTTGGGTAGAGGGGTTATAACAGACAAAGATTCAAGTTGTTTAAATAAATTTTACAGTTTATGAGCAGGAGGATCCTCTTCTGTACACTTGATGACCAGAAGGGTCCTCTTCTGATGATCCTTTTCTGTACAGTAGATGGCCAAAAGGGTCCACTTCTGTACAGTAAATGACCAGAAGGATCCTCTTCTGTACAGTAGATGACTAGGAGGGTCCTCTTATGTACAGTAGATGAGCAGAAGGGACCTCTTCTGTACAGTAAATGAGCAGAAGAGTCCTCTTCTGTACAGTAGATGAGCAGAAGGTTCTTCTTCTGTACAGTAGATAGGAAGAAGTTTCCTCTTCTGTACAGTAGACAACCAGAATTGTCCTCTTCTATACAGTAGATCACCAGAAGGGTCCTTTTCTGTACAGTAGAAGATAAGAAGGGTCCTCTTCTGTACAGTAGATAACCAAAAGGTTCTCTTCTGTACAGTAGATAACCAGAAGGGTCCTCTTCAGTATAGAAGATAACAAGAAGGGTCATCTTCTGTGCTGTTGATGACCGGAAGGGTGATCTTCTATACAGTATATGACCAGAAGGGTCCTCTTCTGTACAGTAGATGACCAGAAGGCCTCCCTTCTGTACAAAACATGATCAGACAGCTCATCTTCTGCACAGTAGATAACTAGAAGTGGCATTTTATGACAGTAGATCACCTGAAAGGTCCTCTTCCGTACAGTAGATGACCAGAAGTCTCCTCTCCTGTATAGTAGATGAACAGAAGTGTTCTCTTCTCTACCGTAGATGACCATAAGTGTCCTTGAAAAAATATTCTTTAAAAAATTCCACGCATTATGAGTCATTGGAAAAATATTCTTTAAAAAATCCCACGCCTTATGAGTACTTAGAAAAATATTCTTTAACAAATAAATTATTCTTAAAAATATTATTCTTTAAAAAATTCCGCGCCTTATGAGTCCTTGAAAAAATATTCTTTAAAAAATTCCACGCCTTATGAGTCCTTGAAAAAATATTCTTTAAAAAATTCCACGCCTTATGAGTCCTTGAAAAAAATATTCTTTAAAAAATTCCACGTCTTATGAGTCCCTGAAAAAAATATTCTTTAAAAAATTCCACGCCTTATGAGTCCTTGGAAAAATATTCTTTAAAAAATTAATTATTCTTAAAAAATTATTCTTTAAAAAATTCCACGGTCTATGAATTCCACGCCTTATGAGTCCTTGAAAAAATATTCTTTAAAAAATTCCACGCCTTATTGGTCCTTGAAAAAATATTCTTTAAAAAAATTCACGCCTTATGAGTCCTTGGAAAAATATTCTTTAAAAAATTCCACGCCTTATGAGTCCTTGAAAAAATATACTTTAAAAAATTCCACGACTTATGAGTCCTTGAAAAAATAATCTTTAAAAAATCCACGTTTCTGTTGGTCCTTGAAACAAAAACCCACGCCTTATGGGTCCTTAAAAAATATTCTTTGAAAAACTCCACGCCTTATGGGTCCTTGAAAAAAATATTCTTAAAAAAAATCCACGCCTTATGGGTCCTTAAAAAATATTCTTTCTTAAAAAAATATTCTTTAAAAAATCCACGTTTCCTGGGCCCTTGAAAAAATATTCTTTCTTAAAAAAATATTCTTTAAAAAATCCACGTTTCCTGGGTCCTTGAAAAAATATTCTTTGAAAAATCCTCGTTTCTGTTGGTCCTTGAAAAAATATTCTTTGAAAAATCCTCGTTTCTGTTGGTCCTTGAAAAAATATTCTTTAAAAAATCCACGTTTCTGTTGGTCCTTGAAAAAATATTCTTTAAAAAATCCACGCCTTATGGGTCCTTGAAAAAAATATTCTTTAAAAAATCCACGCCTATTGGGTCCTTGGAAAAATATTCTTTGAAAAATCCACGTTTTTGTTGGTCCTTGAAAAAATATTCTTTAAAAAATCCTCGTTTCTGTTGGTCCTTAAAAAAATATTCTTTATTTTCTGATTTGTTTTTATTCCGAATTTATGTCCATTTCCCCATATCAAACTGCCATGTTTACATCCCTTAACTCCATAATCCTTGCTTATCCCCCCATTCCTTTGTCATACTTTATGCCCGAGTCACCTGTCGTTTTATTACCAATTAAAAATCCCAAGTAATTATTTTTATTTCTTTTTTCCATCTGTGTTGCCCCCTGCCTCCTACATCTCCTCGTCCTTTTTCCCGAGTTTTTGATTTTCTGTGGAAACCACAACAGCATTAATAATCAAGTGATTTCGCATTATAACATTATTTTAATATGTTTCTACCACTCCTACCTTCCCACCTACCCACCCTCCACACTTCAATCAAATCATTAAGATTACTTCCCGGAATACCTGTTGTTAGACGCATAAAGGGCCGGAGAGGGGGGTGGGTGGTGGTGGTAATGGCGATTATTAAACTGAATTGTTTCTAATACTTTCAACTCATTTACGTCGCTCTTTCTCGTCCAGCCAACCAACCTGTGATACCCACGGCAAGGTGTTTGCATGTGACCGTAGGATAGGGTGGAGATGGTGTGGAGGTAAATGAGACGACCACAAATGGAAACCATGGTCTGCTTAAGTCGTTCTTAGTATTTCAATAATCTTCAATGGGAGACCATTGAAATGTTCGTCATTTGGTAGAAGAATTATGGCATTAACTCGTCGTCCTGGTCGTCATGTTTCATTTCCATAGAATAGAAGAATTTCAACACTAATACCAATGTAATTTGTGTTCCAACAAAAACAACAACTACTACGACGACAACAACGACTATTTTATGAATGTTTATTTGTTTCAATTTAATGGAGGTGAAAAGAGAGAACCCATGAAACGTGGCCGGGGGGAGGAGGGGGGAGAGTTTCAATTAAATCTCAGCATCCTTAGACAAAAAATGTTCAACTGTTAACATAATACATTAGCGTTTACAGGCCAACAAACATAACACACGCACACACACACACATACACATACATTCGCTCTGTTATGTTTGTGCTCTCCATGGCGAGAGAGAAAGAGAAAAACCCAGAGACAATCAAATAAACAACTCTTATACCTTCACCAATCCTGCGCATTTTTCTAATGCTTTGGAGCCTTATATGCCATCTCCTGCCAGAACAGAGCCAAACCACCACCAACAATAACAACAACCACAACACAAACAAAGAGCAATCATTTTCTGTAATGCTGACAGAGAATCCCAAGCGTTGATACTCATCGTCACCACCGCAACGATGAATGGTGGAGAGCAGTTTGTCACACAAAAGAGACAAGAGGGATTGGAAAACATAAAATCCTGTAAGACTTTAATAAACAAAAAACAAAAGCAACAACGACGACAAAAGAAATGAGAAACAGAAGCAGAAAAAAATTACGAAAAAAATGCCAACAAAAGCAATAGCAGAAACAGCAGCAGCAGCAAGACGAACACACTTTACAAACATGTCAAAGTAGGGAGCTTTAAAACCAAGTAAACAAAAGAAGAAAAATCATACTCTACTCAAATGGTGTGTAAATGCACACACACTCACATGCATAAAAAAACACACATACATCAGCCTTGCAAACAAGTGTATTTTTGTGTGTGTGTGCGTGCGTGTGATGGTTTTTCTTCATGCAACTACCTAAACTCTAAACGTTTTGGAGTGTGTGCAACCGATGAAAGTATGTTCGGCCAAAAGTGTGTGTGTTTGTGTGTGCATCATTTTCAATTCTTCCCTCTTGTTGTTGGGAGTTGAAGAGCAGCTCCTCCATGCCAAGCATTTCTATGTCTATTTGCATGTGGAACAGTAATGTCTATTTAGATGCTAAAATTTCTAGGAAATCTATTGAATAGCTACTCTACGGCCATCAAACAATGATGACCATCTATCAAATGAGGAACAAGGATAAGAAGGCATACCCGTGCGGTTTGGGTGTTAAGGCGAACAATGAGTGGCTGGTAGGGGAAGGTCTTTAAGAAAATGTTTCTTAAATGACAAACATTCATTTTTGGATGAATCAAAAAGAGAAGGATCTGAGAGCCCTGGTAAAAAAAAATTAAAAATCAAAGATTGAAGATTTCAGGTCTTGAAAAATATATTAGAAATCCACAATTATAGTTCTTAGAGCACTTCTTAAAATTATGGTAAAAATCCACAATAAAAATCAAATAGTTCTTGCATCTTGTCCTTTCAAAAATATTCTTCAAAAAGTTCACGATATAAAAATATATTGAAAATGAAAACAAAAAATATGATTATAGCTTCGACGGTCCTTCCAAAAATATTTTTAAAAGTTCGCGAAATAGATGTTTTGGAAACCCATGATTAAGGCTCCTAGAATCCTTGAAAAAATACTTTTTTTTTAAAAAAATCCGTGATTAGTCCTTGCAAAAAATTTAAAAATCCAAATAAGTCCTTGTAAAACTAATTCCGAAAAATTCGGGGTT